GATCCATGGACCTTGATACTTCCAGCTCTCGCTGAAATTTTAGCTGCATGATTTCTGCTACTGCTCGGAAGATGATTCTCAGATCCACCTCTCTTTTGCAGATTCCTATCAGTTTGTCAGATCTCGCTTGAAAACAAGTTTTCCAGAGAGATTCAATCTAGGTAGCATTTTGCTTCTGCTGATGGCTGAGTGGAGGGAAGAGTAGTTTATCTTCCAGGATAGACATCATAAACTAAAGCGTCACATAGTCATTCATAATCTCATCACGGCCTTTTGCATCATTTTTGAATATTCTCAATCTGAACCACCTTCTTGGCTAATCCATGCAATAAGTTACCTGCATCAAGTAGCAACTTAACAGGAAGGACTTTAGCCTTGTCTGGAGTCAGAGAACTGGTGGGAACTGCTGCCAGGCTGCCTGTGCTGCATTCAGTAGGTGAATGTGCAGCCAGACAAGACCAGCAACCCCAAGGATAAGACAAATACCAACAGAAACTTTGTCTATGGATTCGTTCCTGCCCGAGGCTAGCTCCAACTCCCTCCTTCCCAGTGATGTCACTCAAGAGTGGTCAGTGGTGGTTAGGTTTCTACCACTCTTCATTGAAAAGAACCCGCATACAATGGACTCTTCGGCCTCAAATTACATTGTGAGAGATCTGAGACCTGAGGGAGCATGTGTGGAGAGACAATAACAGGGCTGAGAACTCAGCGAAGACAGAAAGAGGACTGAGAAGGGGCCATCAGAGAAAAGAAAGGCGAACCAAGGGACATTTCCTAAAAGCGGGTAAGGAGCTAATTTTATGGTGGGGAGACAGATACTCTTGGCCATACAATAAATCAGCATTTCTGGGGAAGGCAATTTGGCAGGATCTCAAGATTTGAAATGTTCCTGCTCTTTGAGCCAATAACTGTACTCCATGCAGCATTGTTTGTTGTGGTAGAAAGCTGGCGAGACTTTCAAACATTTGCATCATCAATAGGGGGTTGGTGGATTATAGAAACCTATCCCAGTTCCATTGTTAAGGGGATAAAGGCTATGCAAAGCATTTGTTTATAGATTTGGGTATTTCCCATGTGCAGAGCAGAAAGCTTGGAGGACCATACAGCCGACAGTTGGCATTGGTGACCTCTGTGGGGGCAACTGTAATTATGGAGAACTTTCACTTTCTCGGTTTAATTTGATTTAGAAAAACCAAGTATGGTGTCACTTCTTGTGCCCTTGTCTTGTGGAGCAAATCAAGACCCATTTTACATATTTCATAATGTTTTACCTTTTCTTTTAAAGATTTATGCATTATTTTTGTAATCAGAACAAATAAAAACGTATAGAAAGAATGGTGAAATGGTCAATGATAATTCAAAGAAGGTCATGAAGTTACCTTACTGAGAAAAGAAAAAGGTAAGAAGCGGTTGTCTTCACTTAGTGGGTGGGAGCCAGATGGCAAGTGATTAAGAATGAAAAAGGAGCCCTAGCCGGTATGCCATCCTGCGCACCAAAAGGTCATCAGTTCGATTCCCAGTCAGGGCACGTGTCCGGGTTATGGGTTCAGTCCCTGGTGGGGAGTGTGTAGGAGGCAGCCAATTGATCAATTGATGTCTGGCTCTCATCTCAATGTTTCTCTCTCTC